CATGTCTCCTTCTCATTAAAAGTGGAAGATTTGCAAAAGTGGTTCCGTGTGTGGCATTCTTGCAAAGTGTTCATCCATGTGTGGCATTTTTGTAATTGCCCCTTTTAAAATTGTAGTTCGATAGTTTACACTCAACACAAAACCAATTACTTATTTCAATTAACGAACACCTAATTTTTATATATTATACATGATAAAGTATGAGGAGCTATGTTGTTACAACAACTGGCATAAGTAAACCTTACTTGTTAATGTTTTGTTGTGTCAAACTTGATGTCTTTGACATAGATTTTCCGCTTAAATGTTATTGTCATTAATGTTTTTTTAAAGTAAATCTTACTTTTCATTGATGCATTTTTTTTAAAAGACGTTTAAAATTATTCACGTATATTTTTTGAAAATTAAAGAGTAACATGAGAGCTTAAACCCTTAAAAATGCATGTAAATATTGAAAAAAAATACATAGATCTTAAGCCGTAAAATCTAATATCAAGTCTAAATCTATATACAACCACGTAAAATTTGATATTTTTTAGTAAACGCCATCAAATTCTTTGATCTTGGATGTTAAACCGTAGCATAAACGTCTAAATATTAACAATGCACATTTGATGGTTTATAAAAATTGCGCTAGAAGTAAAAAATCCAAGCCATTGATTCATCATGGCCATTGCTCTTTCAACAATATAGTCTCCTCCACATCATAGAACAACTTGATCGATGCGTTTCCTTTGATTTTTTTTTGTATTTGTTTATGTGTCTGCATAAAGTATTTGAAAGATGAGTTTATTGTTAGAATATATAAACTGTCACGGCCCAATTCCATAAAATCTCCAAACCCTAAAACGCTCGTTACCCGCAGTCCAAGTTAACCAAAACCCTAACCTAGAGTCTCCCTATATCTTTATATAAGGCCACGCAAGTGAGGAGGAAGATCAGAGTTGCACAGCTAGTAAAACCCTATTGTTCTCGCTCTAGCCGTCTTTGCCTTCTCAGTTAAGCCAGTTCCGAGTTGCTGTTTTGCGGGGCTGATTTTCGGCTGTTCAGAAGGAATTAGATCATGATCCTTATATCTCTGGAAAGATCACGGATTCTAGTTTCTGAAGCCTTTTTCGGATTTGAATTACGAGGTATGGTCTGCTCGCAAATCGTATTTGAATATCAGAAAAAATCACAATTTCCTGAATCTGAAATTCTTAGTCTCAGATCCGACCAGAAAACTTGCGGGGTGATTTTTCCGGCGAACCGTGAGGAGTTATGCGACGATCTACATACCGTTGGATAGAGGATTCTTTGTAGATTCCGTGGCTGTTTTCCGATTTGGATTCCGAGGTAAGATGAACCTGCAATCTACGATTTAAGTTTGCCCTAGATGTCTGCCCAGATTCTTTTCTCGGGTTTCACAGAGCTAACTTTGGAGGAAGGTCTATGCTGTTACAGAAGGAGTTAGAACACTATTTTGGTACCGTTGGAAAGATGACGTTACAAGGATTTTAGATCAAGTTCTGATTTTCTAATCCGATCTAAATCCGGTGAGTTATTGATGTTTCTTTCTGGTCAAGAAACATTTATTCTGTCAAAATCCAAAAACGTATTTTTGACTTGAATCGCTTTTCCAGAATGCAGATTCACATCCTTTTAGGTTCACTCCTCCATATTTGGTCATCCAAAGGCTAAGGTGAGGGTGTTTTCTAGATTACTTTAATACTAGTTAACATTAGATGTTCTTACATGTTAGTCTAGGAATGGAATGTGATGTTGTTGGTTATATGTGCTAAGTCTAGGAATGTTTGATGCTTGCTGATTGTTAGTAAAGATTGTRTGATGTGTGGAAATTGWTTGGTKMTTAAATGAAGTTAAAGATTAAAAAGTATTGTTTGAGATTGTTAGAGTATAGGATAGTTCTGGGAACGATCGCATACGTAAGTCCGTTACAGAACTTTGCATGTTGGACTACGAACGATCGCGTATGTAAGCCCGTTGTAGTCCATTAGGCCTTAGAGGGCCATGACCGGGAGGACAGACCCAAAACGCGAGATAGGGGTTGGCTCCGCC